CAATCATCTAATCCTGCAACACGGCCACAATCAAAAGATTAGCGTGGGGTTGGCCGTACTATTCATTTTTAAGGAATGGGCTGAAGTTGGATTTGTTTTATTTTTCATAACATTTCAGTGAAGTTGATCAAATTACATGACATCAATATCACTAAATGTCGCAAAAATGATTGAGTCTTTAATCTGACCTGAACATAACGGAATGGTGCTTTTCTGCCTTTGCCAAAACTGGGGGTCTTATTTCCGGGTGGCTTTTTCCCTAAACCCTTGGTCCTGCCCACTCAAGGACGCCCTGAGCGAGCGCTTCAACCGGGGGGAACATTCGACCTTTACCCTCTCCTCGACCAGCGACCAGGGGTCTCCTCTCGAGTGCCTCTCAGGCTCGACCTCAGCCCTGAAGCACCTCACGACCAGGAGATAGCACCCCTCCAGAGAACAGGCTCGACCTAAGCCCTGGAGTAACGGCCAGGACTATCTCCTCGGTATTCAGGTCGACCTAAGCCCTGAATACGGTCGTGATCGCCGACCCGGAAACAGGCTCGACCCAAGCCCTGAAAGTACGGTCAGCGAGTACCAACAGCTTTCCCCAACTCATTTGACTCGGAGTTATCTGATCGGGACCACTGATCTTCCCGTCTTGAAAGATCCACGACCATAAAGTAAAGAAGCGGAATCCAGGCCCGACCTATGCCCTGAAGAGGTAGGTACGGACTGTATGCGCTCCGCGACCCGGAGACGTAATTCCCGGAGCAGGCCTGACCACGCCTGTGGGAACTCTCTCCTCCTTTGTTCAATGCGACTGCGGGTTGGAACAAAGTGGACCAGGAGACAACTCCATACCTAACCTGTGTTGCTCTCACTTACGCTTCCCCGTAGTTCCCCGGGACAGGATTGACCGCGCCGGTGAAAATTTCCCCCCCCCCTTAGTCCACCGCATCCGTGAGTCGAGACTAAGGGCCGGGACGACGAGCAGGAGAAATACCGGCCGCCTAGCACAGGCAAGTACCGCACAAGAGCTGGTCGAAGCGCGAGGACGAGTTGTTTCCCTCGCGGTACTGTCATGGAAGAGACGGAGGCTTTCCTGACCTCAGAGGACATCACCTGATACCCGTCAAGGAGCCAGGACCCTTTCGCTGTCCTTCGAGGAGCGCACTCCATCCCAGGATCACTTCGCCCCGCCGAATGCTGAGTGTTGGGATACCGGAGCTGTTTCTTCATCGTCGGTGATGTACATTTGTAGTAAGGAATAGAAATACGGGATTTTATCGTGTTGTTACCGATTTCCCCTTGCGATCTTATTTTCACACGAACCCGAACGGACTACAACCCCGTAGCACCGTGACAATACAATTAGGTGACAGAAATAGAAGAGATGCATTGCATCACTTGTCACCCAGTGTGTTTTCACGGACGGCGTATCAATTTAGAAAGGAAAATGAGGCAAGACGTGGAATGAAATTTACCTGGATCCTCTCGAACCCTATGCCGCCTCTTCGATAACATGAATCTGGAGGAAACCGATCCCATACTGTGATTTCCTCCGGGATACGATATGGGTTGGATGATAGCCCTCTGGGTGAAACACGGTCAGGACGAGCCTGGTTCATAGACTGGTGATGCTCCCACATTCTCGAATGAACGATGAATCGTGATGCGATCATATATCTGTGCAGTAAATGCCGATGAATAGGTTGAGTATGCCAAAGTCTTTCCATGTACTAGCCTGGCGAGCCCTATTCAGCGCTCCATACCGCGTTCGACCTCTGACGAATCGACACGGTGAGGCGTAAGGAGAAGCCTGGGAAAGAGGGTCATGCCCAAGGGGGGACGGAGAGGGGGAGGAGAGGGGGTAAAATCTTGCGCATGGGATGACGTCAGCGAAACGTTCCACTATAAAACCGGGCGCTTTGCCCTCGACGGTCTTACCATCTCGCTGCTTAAGGCCAAGACAGGTCGCTCACACTTTCTCGTGTCTCTTGCAGCCGTAATACGTCTATTCTCGTTTGTCAGAGCCACCTAGGCAGCATCGTACATCATTGCCGACCTGTTCGTTGATTTCGATAATATTCTTAGGTTCCTTTATTTCATTCACTCTCTTGGTAGCAGTTGTTATGAAGGACAGTGGCAAGGATTGCATTGTCGCATCTTCAAAGAATATGTATAGGACTCGGACTCGGCAGGCATGAAATATTTCCTTCCATGATTTTCCAAAATTTCTAGACAGAAAATGAATGGCTTCAATCGCTTGGAAGAAAATCTATCCCCAGATATGCTTTCGTGTGCTCGCATCCCTTATCATGATCGAAACGCTATCAGGTACTTGAAAAAAGATGCCATTCCAACAGAGAATCTGGCCGAAGATCCAACGCAACCTCCCACGTCCACGTTTGGCATCTAATTTGGCGTCTAACGTAAATTTGTCGGTCTGACGATTCATTTCAACCAATGGAGGACTAGCAGGTCTCCTCATCTCTTGAGAATGGAAACAATGACATGAAATCATCGTACCGGATGACCATGAATGCTCATCGCTTAGAGGTATAAATTAGAGGGCTGTACCGATGTATCGGCTAACACCGGTATCGGCCGCCGGTGTTGGACTATCGGCCACATCGGCCATCGGCAGGTTTGGAACCAGCCGGTGCCGATGTTCAAAGAATAACGTGCTGAACGAGGAAAAATAAAAAATACCACGTGAACGGGGCTCGGTAACCGATTCTCAACGGCAATAGGAAAAAAATAGGGCTATCGCAATTCATCCATCGCTGTATTGCTGTCATTTTCGATAGTTGAGGTATGGGAGGCTTTATCACCGTCGCGAAGGTCACACCTCCCCCACCAACTCCTCGAATCACAGGCGACAGATTATGGAAGGTGGATATAGGTCGGCGCTCCGATCGAGGCAAGAAATGGCGGAAAGGAGGCAGAAACCTGATCCCGATCGCAGTGAGAAAAGACTGAATCCGCCGACACCCCCACCCCCACCTCAACATCGCCAGCATCGATGCACTATCGATGTTTCAGGTCGATACATGGGTGTATTCGAAACACCCAGCGTGGAAGCAATAATAAATTTGAACGTGCATTCATAATATGTCTGTTTGACTTTTAAAAAATTTTGTCGAATGCTTTTTCGCTGTTTCTCTACACGTCACAATAGGCACCGGCACCGGTACCGGCCGATAGGTATAAGAAAATAATCGGCCATCGGCCCACCGGCAAAATGTGGCCACCGGTACAGCCCTAGTGTAAATCCTTCGTCAGAAACCGAAGAGAGCACAGGAGATAATGAAGCTGAGAAAAATTCTTTTCCCTCAGGTGATGCAAAAAAGGAACGGTCGTCGAAGATCTCCATGAAAATGTGTCGATGATTCAAAAACTCGTTCACAAAGGAGTATTCACAAATACTCAATTGTGAAATTAGTTATCAATTACAAGTACCCACATATCCATCCATTGACTATTGGGATCTTCGTACCTACCAGAACTTTTCTTGATTGAAATACCTGAGCAAGGAAAATGCAGTGAGGATGAACTGGGATCGTTAGGAATTGAAATGAAAGAATTGGGAATAATGGTGACGGAAAAAGGATTTCCATGAGAGCTCCGATCTAATGTGAGATGGCCGGACATCGAATTCACAAAGCCCATCACAAAAAGAACGATTTTCGGTGTAGAGGACATTTTCACAAGTTTCGGATTTCGTGATGTCATGATCTTTCCCGGTTTCCCACGCCAAAGGTGCGCTTCGCTACCCCGTCTACTTACACAGCATGCCCTAAAGTGCGAGGCGTTCCACCCCCCCAAAATGCGTTTCTGCGCAGATCTAAGAGGGGTCTCTCCCAGGTCTCTCCGACCAAGGTATATGCGAAGCATCAGGTACTGACGACAGCTCAAATAGGCGCCATGTTTAGTCCAAGCCCAGCCTGCCTTCCCATTCTCTTTCTCTCTACAGCCACGAATGTAAACATTTTTGCTTGTGGCAAAGAAGGGGAAAACTGGAAAAATAGGCCTATCGCCTTTCCCAGTCGGGACCTCCCCTCTTTCATCTGAAAATGCGTTGATTTTCATGAAAACATGAATTACGGTCGTGCCGACATGGCTCTTCCTCCTGCCTTATATCAATGCTCTTTCCATGCTCCATCAATAGTGGGTTGGTCAGATTTAAGGTCAGGCAGGTTCATCTGCCACTCTCATAAGGGCCTACCAGAAAATGACTGATGGGAGTGGCAGATCTGTGCCAATCTGTGCCTAGGTGGCGTTCCCATCATAAATTTAATTTGATGAGGGAAGGGGCCATAAAATGCAGCTTTTAATGACATTCCCTTAAATTTAGTCACAACTCATCCCATATCCTTTCTCCATATGAATTTCCCCTCAATCCCCTGAAGAGTACAGCTTTTTTCATCTTGATTTGAGCATGAAGGAATCTATCTTCCCTAATTTGGCTGCATTAAAGAATGGAAAATAATATTGATGTTGCTACTAAGACAAAGGGTTTCTTGAACATTTCCCCTCAATCCCCTGAAGAGTACAGCTTTTTTCATCTTGATTTGAGCATGAAGAAATCTATCTTCCCTAATTTGGCTGCATTAAAGAATGGAAAATAATATTGATGTTGCCACTAAGACAAAGGGTTTCTTGAACAGTAGACTGTTTTATACAAGAATTAAATCTGACAGCAGCTAGTACAGGATAAGGTGCATGTAAATTCCTTGACAGTTTGATTTTTAAAGAAGCAATTTTTACTATACTCCAAAATATATTTGTAAGTGTGATGTGAGGGTGTCTTCAGCTGCAAGGTTTTCAGTTATCAGGGATACTAAGGGGATCCGATTTCTATTGTCATAGATTTCACCTTCTTGGTAGAATATAAATGGGAGCATCATGCTTTCTAATGAGGAATGTAATGGATCTGCAGCACTCTGATGCCTCAAGACATCTAAATGATGCAATGCATCCCTGCAGTTCCTTTCTTTCTTTCCATTCCTGATACTACGATGAACCCTAAGGAGCCCCACACTCGGTTGTTAATGGATCGCTTTAGAAGCACTGATTATCTGTTGCCTGTGCTTCAGGCATTTACAGACTTTTTGAGTACATTTCCCCGTACTCAGTAGTTTTCACCTTCCTCAGAAATATTCTATGGCCAATGGCATCAATACTTTACTTTTTCATCGTTCAATGTGATCGCAAGACATTCTATCACAGTGACACTGAAGAAATATTTCAAATCAAATAAAACCACAAAAGTAACAAGAAGCACCAAGCAACAAAACATTTGGCAAATTATAGAGCTACACTACAGATACTATCCAATCAATTAACTGGTATTTACTATTTAACTGCCACAAATAAAATTAATCTTCGGAAAACTGCAATGAGCAAGACCAAGCAAGTCCTAGACCCGAACAAAAAATAATTTCAAAGCTCAGTTCGATTCATGGTCTCTACGGCCACCTAAAATTCGAGTTCCGTATATAACGAGTTCCGCAAGCCTCTTGTTCCGAGAGTCCTTCGAAATTTCGTTTCTCTTTTTCAGCGGACACCCTCGCGTTCGCCTCGCGTCGATGATATTCGCGGAATACTTCCAATATTCGCGGAATATTTCCAATATTCGCGGAAGGACGAGATGGTTGGCACAGTTCCTGCTGGCATGACGCTCGAGAGAGGCGACGACATATCGTGCTGGAACGAAAGCAAAGGTCGAATTTATTCGGATACGGATTGAAAAGTCTTCACTTTCACCTATCCGTCTGGGTTTTCGACATTTTTTTTTATAGAGATAAGGTTACCGTCGGTATATTCAACGTTCGACGATCTGAAGGATTCGACAATTCCCTTCTTCAACATTTTTATCCATCGCCGTTCCGCGCATTTGTTGCATTCGGCTTTCGGCCTTTTTTATCTAAGAGTTTTCCGAGCCTTAGCATCCAGTCAGCAACTGGAAAATTTCTCTGAAACTTGGAATCGTTTCCGACTTTCTGGACCATAAAACACATGGTATCTTCCCAATAATAATAAAATTAAAAAATGTAAGCAGCGCAGATCCGCCCCGAACCCCGAGCCCCATTCGGGGCAGAGGCCACGCCCTCCTCCTCCTCCTCTTCCTCCTCCTCCTCCTCCTCTTCCTCCTCCTCCTCCTCCTCATCCTCCTCCTCCTCCTCCTCCTCGCGTCCTTGAAAGATGAGACGGGGTCATGGGGAATGTTTGAGCCGAGAAGGGCCAGGCAGCCTCCGGGATCTGTGAGCGAATGTTGCAACACTTTCTGACCTGCACAGTTTTGTTTGTTTTTATTTGTTTTTTTCTTCAGGGGGGTGTACTAGCGTTAATTGCTGTTTGACCTTTGCTTGCCTTTGACTTGCCGATAGAAAAACCGATGACGCAGATCACAGGCTTCATTCCGAACCCTTGTAACCGCCCGACCGTCATCCAAAAGTCGACGTGATAGAAGCGCATGAAGTGTCACCTTCACTTGTTGATGGTGACGCTTCGTGCGCTTACCTTACCAATATTACCCTACCAAACTAACCAAATGGAACGTCGAGCGTCCTCACGATCATGCGGCAGAGACCGTGATGACCGAAAACAGAAAATCGGGAAGAGTTCATCGTGGGGTTATGAAGATCGGTTTTCGCGACAGGGGATGTTCACGATGGCGTGACCTGCAGCTCCTGCCGGGGCCCGGTGCGGGGGAACCGCTACAAATGCCTGGAATGCAAGGACTTCGACCTCTGCTCCTCGTGCGAGGCCAGCGGGACCAAGCACTCGCAGCATTCTTTCATCAGACTCCCTTCTCGCGTGCCGGTCGACTCGCTCGCGCCCGAACTGGATGGAGCCACGCGTGAGACTTCTCCGTGTGGAAGATCGGTCTTGCTGGGCGTGTTTCGTCGACTGTTCGTTTCGGCGGTATCTGTTTACGACAGGTGAAGTGCATCCGGGAGTGACGTGTTGTTCCTGCGGCCGGGGAGTGAGGGGGAAAAGGTACAGGTGCCTCGCGTGTCCCGACAGCGACTTCTGCAGCTCGTGCGAACAGGCGGTGGTGCAGCACTTCCTTCACCCGATGATTCGCTTTTCCAAGCCCGATGCCATCGCTTTTGGGGTCAGCGTCATCTGCCCGGATGGTATTGCAACGTCCGTTGGCCACCCGCGAGAGCGCGATGCAATGATGCTTTCGGAGATGCAATGACGCCGCGATCCTTGTGTTTCGAGGTCTTCATCGCGGCGTGCGCTGCGGCGAATGCGGCGGCAGTATCCTCGGACATCGCTACAAGTGCCTCCAGTGCCAGGACCTGGACCTCTGCCCGAGATGCGAGGCGTCCTCCAAGCACCTCCACCACCGCATGCTCCGGATCCCTTCAAAGCGTAAGCAGCCTCCCGACGTTCCTCGGAGGGAGGGGCCCCGGGGGGGGAGGGGGCGAGGCGAGGGCCGCGGGTCGAGTGACCCATCATTTCGAGAGGCTCTGGGACTCAGATCCGAGAACGTCGTTGGAATAGATAGTTTTCTCGAAAAGCAGTCTTGGGAGATGAGGAGCCTGGGGAATGGAAATGAGAAATTGTCCTAGTATTATCAAATGAAGCGGAGGATATTTGCGACAGGATTTCTGTGCATAATTTCTTCCGAAGTATCCCCCACGGAATCGGCACTCCAAATGTGCACCCACACGGATTTCTGTGCATAATTTGAGTCGTTGCGGACGTATACGGCTTAGGCTCATGAGCAAATCGATTTAGCACATATTCTGCGAGGCGAATCTCAATTTGCACAACCTGATGGAAACCATTTCCAGCGGGCTATTCCCGCATTCATTTGGCTCATCGAATCGGATCAGTGGAAGTTTTTCGTTTTGCAATGCATCAATCATTTTGGCACTCTTCAGTATATAACATCTTAATTTCACTTTCTACCACCGGTTCGTTCGCATCAACCAACATTTCTGACGTAATCGGATTCGTACGCAGGCACGTGTTTTCGGGACACACTCGAACGATGTTACGCGATCTCAAACGATTCCGAGATGATTCGCAGGGATCCCGCGAAAATAAACGATTTTCGCATCGAAGCTCATCGGAGTTGTTCGCACATCCGCGTGGAAAGACGAGAGGGTCGGATTAGAGATCGGATTAGAGATCGGATTAGAGAGGTTAAGCGAGAGACCGATCCGGGGGAAAGCAGACCGGCGAGTCCAACGTGGTCGAGTTTTACGGGTGGGTAAGATGGATTAGGATGAGTTAAGGCGGATTACGATGGGTTAAGGCGTGTTAAGGTGGGTTAATATAGGCTAAGGTGGGTAAAGGAGCAATTTTGGCATGGCAACGTGTCTCTCATACCTTCTCATTTCTAACGACACACGTCCGCTCTTGCATTGCGAGACTCGCTTGCGGCCGTTTGCATTCATGCGTGGAAATCCTCTCAATGTTCTGTTTTGTCCGATGCCGAATGGAGATTGAAACTGACATGCTCGGAGGCATCTTGCGGCGAGTGTTCACATGCTTCCTTCGATCGAGAAAACCGTTTTCGACCACGAATGAGCCACACCCCGAACGATAACAACCCGAGTCAGGAACGACCAGAACTTAAAGGGCATGAACCCACTCCCCCTGGACGATTCCCCTCCAGCCCCCCATCGGACCAACCATTCCCCTCCAGCCCCCCATCGGACCAACCATTCCCTCTCGGCCACCTCGCAACCGCTCCTCGCTCGGCCGCTTTCATCGCTCCACGTTCGTTCCAGGTGATCGCCACGGAGCCTCGGAGTCCCCGCAGACCTCCACGCGTGCCGCCCAGGAAGCCCTCCTTGCAGGTGAATTTCACTTAATTCCTTCTCGTCTTGTGTTAACGCGGTTAAGGTTCACTCTCCAAGGTTTATCGTTTTGCATCCGTAATCGTCGAAGGATCGCTGCGTAAGGGAACGAGAGATTCTCGACCCAGTCCCAAGCGGAAACGGCACGAACGGTTCGGAAAGATCGGTTCGTCCCGAACGAACCGGAAATATTGGGGCCGTACCGTCGCTTTGAAAGACCTACTGCCTCGTTACGTCGCAGTTCCTTCATTTTGCTTATTGGCTAATGTTTGTCTTAAGTCTTTTCGTCTGAAATCCGCTGTGGCTTCTTCTTTTGAACGTTTCCCCCATTTCGGCAAAAACCGATCAATGCTACTCGACTCCCACATTTTAAAATCAGTTTTGTCGTAAAATACCTTCTGTCGGTGCACTTAAGCAAAGACATCTGGAGTTGTAAGGGTTCTCCCTGGCTTTCATAATTCAGGCAGTAAAAGCTTAATCCCGAATCAC